CTCTCTCTCTCTCTCTCTCTCTCTCTCTCTCTCTCTCTCTCTCTCTCTCTCTCTCTCTCTCTCTCTCTCTCTCACAAACATCGAAGCAGGTTCATGGTCACACAGATTCACACTGCATTGGCACCAGAAATGCTGATCATTCATAATGCATAAGAAAAAAAAAAGAAATGCTGATCATTCATGAGGGGAAAAAAAGAAATGCAGGTCATTCATAAGGGAAAAAAAAAAAACATGCTGATCATTCATAAGATGAAAAAAGAAATGTTGATCCGTTTTAAACAATTTACCTTTTCCCTTGCTGCACTCCTCACTGAATGTGTATGTTTCTGAGTGTATCTTCCGCTAGAACTGGAAAGATACACAAGCCATTTTTGTGTTTGCTTCGTTTTGTTTTTCTTGGATTTGCCCAGTCATGGAGCTAGGCTGCTCATGTCCGCTGCATAGAAGAAAAGGATCCTTTGTGTATTGTACTATTGATTAGCGTGTCTGCACTTTTTGTGTTAAACCCACCCCGAGCACCCAACTTTCAGCAAGCCCTCTCTTAAGAGCTTTCAGCAAGCCCTTGCTTAAGCTCTACCCATGAGGAGGCCAGGGTGATCGCTGGAGCCCTCTCCCTGGCTTTGCTCCCCGAGCTCCCCCTTAGCCAAGGGTAGAGGAGAGCTTCCTTGGGCTTCCTGGCATGCATTCTTCAGGCAGCTCCATCCCCCCAACCCATCCCTTTCGGCAGGCTAGGTAATTGCACTCTCACGAGAAGTCGCTCAGAAAACTCCTGAGGTAGCGCACTCGTGGGAAATGGTGAAAGCTTTCAAGGGGGGGAAGCTGACCTCTTCTTGGGCGCAGGAGTTCATCCTGATCCCAAGCCAGGAAGAGGAGGAACTGGTCGAGAAAATCACCTATATGGGCATCTGAGTACCCAGAAAGACAAGCATGTTTTTGTTGATTTGGTGCACCTGTCCTTATCCCTCAAAACCCCTAACCAACTCCTGGAATCCCCTCCAAAAAAATTCTTCAACCCCATCCAACGCCGTGAACCCTTTCCGGCCTCTCGAACCCCATCTAGCTTCTTGAACCCCATCATCGAAGTCCTGTTTAACTCTTTGAACCCCATCATCCAACTCCTTCCTTGGACCCCATGAGTGATCCCTTCCTTGAAACCTACCTCTTGGACCCTTCCTTCTCCGACTCCTTCCGTGGTCCCTTCCTTGAAACCTACCTCTTGGGCTCTTCTTCCTCGCTTGACTCCTTCCGCGACTCCTTCCTACCGTCTTCCCCCGAACATAACACACCCTGAAAATGAATGTATACGAGTTATATTTCCGGCCAGATACACCCAAAATGAGGGTGCGTTGTGTTCGGGGGAAGACGGTAGTCCCAGTCCTACTAATTAGAACCCCATCCAAGTCCTTCCTCGAGCCCTATACAACTCCGTGAACAGCCATTGACTCCTTCCTTGAACCCTGTCCTACTCCTTGAACCCTAAACCCTAAACCCCTTGTCTTACAGAAGCTGAACCTTGGACGTGATTATCATGGGGTTACATCCTACAAGATGAATTCGACAAAGGCTTGCCATGATTAACACCTATCTCCACAAAATTTTGGCTAATTTTGAAAATCTTCACTAAACCATGAGCGGACAGCATAAAGGTCATTCTTTTTTTTTTTTTTTTCCCTCTTAAAAAGGTCTACAGCGGCACAGCTGAGATATATCATCATCTGAACTAACCGCCCCCAGATAATTGCAGTGTTTTACTCATATGCTTCCGGTGGAGTTTGAACACAGCACCTGGTGTGTATATTTCAACAGTTTGGGGGTGCACCAACTGATTCTCTATCGTTGTATCGTACGCACTGTATGATCTTTTTGCTACTGTATCAGTGAACCGTTTCACAATACTGTGTTGACTCAGTTTGTATACACTGTTTGTCTTTGTCGGTGAAGGTGGGTGAAGGGCATTCCGATCACGCGAGATGGATGCGACCGGAGAACATGACCACCAGCCGCACTGCGTATAAGGTTGATGCTGACCATCCGGGAACGGAAGTTGCAGCAGAAGTGGCTGCAGCTATGGCAGCAGCAGCAATTGTCTTCGCACAGTCCGATGCAGAGTATGCGGGGATCTTGATAATGCACGCGAAGCAGCTTTTCCACTTTGCGGACACATGTCGGGGCTCCTACAGCGACAGTATTCCAAGTGTTCAGCCCTTTTACAAATCATGGAATGGCTTCCAAGATGAACTGCTGTGGGCTGCCATCTGGTTGTTCAGAGCAACCAAGGATGTAAGCATTAAAAAAAAAAAAAATGCTCCTTAAAAAATGCTTATCCCTCCCGTCATCGTCACCAAGTGGAAATATATTATATTAAGTTATTAATTTCATTTATAACTAGGAAGATTTTCATGACCGGCCGGTCTGGACCGCCCGGTCACCCGGGCGTGATGCCCGGGGGGGTCTGACGCCCGCAATACCCAGGCATGGGGAAAAAAAAAAAAAATTGGCGGTGGGGTTTTCCCGTGCTTTCTGAGAGGAGCCCAAATCCGGGCTCTTTTCTTTTTCTGAGTTGGCTGTCAAGGGGGGGGGGAAGGGGAGTATAAATGACTTTTGAAGGGGCTAAAGGGGTTTAAAACTGTGTACGGATCCGGGCCGACCAGCGCCTGCCCGGGGGAGGTCCCGGGCGGCCTGGCCGGGCGGGCAGCCCGGTTGGGGGCCGGGCACCCCCAGCACACCTTGTTGGGGGGGGGTTTCCGACCCCAAATCGCCAAGTTCTGGCCTCCCCAGGGCCTACCGGGTCCAACCAGGCCCCAAAAACGGCGCGTCGGGCCAGTGAGGCCAGTTTTTTTTTTTGAATTTGTGACGGCCCTCCGGCCGTCGATCATCCATGATCGACGGCCAGAGGGCCGTTTGTTTTTTTGGAGGGAAAATCAAGGCCCCGTTTGAACAACCGACTGGCTGGGGCGCCTGCATCGGCTGTCCAAACGGGGCCCCTTCTCCAGCTGCCTGCGTTCGTGGTTCAGCCACCCTCGCTCCTCGCACTGCCCGTTGTCGCCATCGCCTGGGAGCTGCACTCCCTCGTCGTCGCAGAGTCGGCCGTCGCCCGTCGCCAGCGTCGTGGAGTCGCCCGTTGCTCGTCCCCCTCTCATCTTCTTCTTCTTCTTCTTCTTCTTCTTCTTCTTCTTCTTCTTCTTCTTCTTCTTCTTCTTCCTCTTCTTCCTCTTCTTCTTCTCTCCTCCTCCTCTTCCGACTATCTTCTTTTTCTTTTATTTTTTTGTTCCATTCGTCAGCGATAGGTCGTGAGATAAACGACAGGTAAGAAAAAAAGGAAAAAACTGCTCCGCTCGTCATCTCTTCTTCTTCTTCTTCTTCTTCTTCTTCTTCTCTCCTCCCCCGCCTCCCCCTTATCTTCTTCTCCTTCCTCTTCTCTCCTCCTCCTCTTCCGCCCATCTTCTTCTTCTTCTTCTTCTTCTACTTCTTCTTCTTCTTCTTCTTCTACTTCTTCTTCTTCTTCTTCTTCTACTTCTTCTTCTTCTTCTTCTTCTTCTTCTTGTAGGACCGCCGCTGCAGCCCGCCGCCATACCCTGCCACCATACCCTACTGCCCTGCCGCCGCCGCCATCTTCTTCTTCTTCTTCTTCTCCGCCTCCCCCTCATCTTCTTCTCCTCCGAGTCCCCAACACCCAGAAACCCCCCTCCCCCCACCCCCCCCCAAAACCAGAATTTTATTGCAGATTCGGGGTCCTCTCGCTGAGCACAGTAGGACGCCGCCTTCGGAAAAAAAATAGAAAAATTCTGGGCTGTTTTTTTTGCCCGCCTGGTTGGCCCGGGCGACCCACCCGGCCCCACCCGGCCGGGCGGCGTCCGTACTCAGGTTTAAAAGGGGGTGCCTTAATGTGATTTTTTTTAATTTTTTTTTTAATCTTCAGTTCCGTGAGGAATTCTGATGTGACCCTCTGCCAAAAGTTGTTTGTATTGCAATTCTACACAACATTTGTTTTTCAGATTTTTTTGGTTGTTTGTTTGTTTGGTTTTTTTTTTTTTTTGGTTTTTTTTTTTTGTTTTTTTTTTGCGCAGGGGCTGCCCAGGCCCGTGCCCGGCCGTTCACCCGGTCGCCAAACCGGGCGTGACATCGGGGCCCGGGCACCCTGGATATATCCCTAGATTTATAATATTTTATATGTATCAGCTAGAAGCCTAGAACAGCGCACTCTGCGATGCAAATATAGAAAGAAAAGAGCAGGCATCATGAGGCACATGAAAACCGTTATTATTGCCTTTGCCAAAGATTTTTCTATGCGGTTTTGTTTTCTTTCTTTCTTTTTGGCGCTTTCCACGCTTTCCCTTTTGTCTTTCTTTGTTGTATGACTGTTGGTGGTTGCCAGTGCCGTCAATGTTTATTCGGGCCTCGCTCCACTACTCTCCAAATGTGCAAAATGAGACTGAATCTTGCACTAGAACATGGAAAGATACGCCCTCGTATTTTTTTCTTTTTTGTGCATGTGGAGAGCAGTGGAGCGACACCCTTTGTCTCTTCTTTCAAGGGAAGTCGTTTCAGAAGTCCTATAGTTTTGCATGACGCCAAAGAGCCCGACAGGTTGGCACTCATTTCCGAAGTCATATAGTTTTGCATGATGCCAAAGAGCCCGGCAGTTTGGCATGAAAGCGCATCTGATTTGTTTCGCTTTTTCATTTTGCAGGTAGGTGTGAAAAAAAAGCCCAACATTTTTGCATGACAGCAGTTTCGATTGCTTCATTTCTTCAAATTGGCGCCCTTTCTTCCATCGGTGCTGCCTATCTATCCAAAACCCAGAACTTACCCCCCCCCCTCCCTTACAGAATCTTCGAACGACCCTAGACCAGACCAGCTTAAAATCTGGAAGTCGAAAAAATTAAAGCGGGCAGGGTACTGGTGTTTTCTACAAGGAATGAGTGATTCCTTCTGGAAGCTGAAAAGAATGACATGGCTGCCAATCTGTGCTGGCTTCAGCGAACTTCACGATTTGGTGCAATTGTATCTTTGGTGCAATTGTATCTTTGGTGCAATTGTCTCTTCAAGAGGCCATAGTAGACTTATAGTGTTGACCTTCCTTTTTGGTCTAAAGTATAAATGGCAGTCTTTACTCCTGCCCTTTGTCTGCACGCCATGAATCTGAGTGAGGGTGGTATTTAGCTGAAGAATAAATGCAAAAGGAGACGGAGGGGAACGGATAAACACCTATGGGCACGGACACTGACACAGACACACACACAAACACACACATACACACATCTCCACACAGACACACACACATACACAGACACACACAAACGTACACACAGACACATGGAAAATTTAAAACACACACAGAGACGCACACATAGACACACATGGCCAGCCTTGTTCGTGAGAGGCATAGTAAAAGGGAAGCTGCGAGAGCAAATAAAAGGGATGCCCCAAAGAGAACTGAAGTAATACTTGAGAAAGGGAAATATAATGGGTCTATTCAATTCTATTGTGCTCCGTGTTGCGTGCTATAGAGGTAAAACTGTTTCATTGTTGGATTGGCTCATCTCAAGTGTGCTTCATTGTCTGCAATAGAGGTAAAGTTGCTTTGGTTTTGGATCTGCTCATCTTGGTGGAACAGAGGCTGTTGTGGTGCAAATCAACAACACGCACACACACACGCACACACACACACACACACACACACACACACACACACACACACACACACACACACACACACACACACACACACACACACACACAGATGTCAATCGGTACCTCTTAGAGGTCCATGTGCCTCATGTTTTCGTTCGTTTCTGGTACAGGCCTGTCTTTCTTTCCTGATGCACTAGTTTTCCCAATCTAATTATTATCCTGAAGCACACGTCTGCAGTTAGGGAAGTTATTTATATGACCGCTCTGTTTGCTCTCAGGTCTCCTACATGAATTATGTCACGGGACCCAACTCTGAGTTGTTTGGGGGTACAGTTCAGGATAAGATGGAATTCAGCTGGGACGACAAGTTCGCAGGCGTTCAGGTACTCGTGGCAAGAGCATTGTTAACTGGAGAAGATGGAGGGGCAGACAGGAAGGTTATGGAAAAGTACAAGGAAAAGGCAGATGGTTTCATGGTCAGGCATCTTCAAGGGAGCGTTCAAAAAACTCCAGGTGGGTCTGTTCTTCACACCTCGGTTTGTCATGGTGGGTCTATGCTGCACACCTAGATTTGTCTTTTTTTTTTTTTTTTGTCTGTTAAACTTTGTTTTTTTTTTTTTGGTGGAGGTGACAGGCAAAGTCATCTCACTGGTTGGGAGATGCAGATTTGAGTGTAAAGGGAATGATCAGTTTCCGATTCGAGACTGTCATTATGCGAGGTTTGACGGTCCGTCTCTCGGTGTGGCTTTTGACTGACCGTTGCCTCTATTTTTTTTTTGTTGTCTCTGTTTCTTGTCTACCATCTTACTCCGAACACAACACACCCTGATAACGGACAAGCTATCTTGGTGCAGCCAAAAAAAAAAGAGGGTGCGTTGTGTTCGGGGAAAGACGGTTGTGCGCAGACTGTGACAGAGGAAAAGAAGCTGAAAGGATTGGTCTGTGTTGACTGCAGTCTATAATTTTGCTATCGTCGTCCACCTGAACAAAGTGCGCCCTCTCGTCGTGACTTTGTCAAATGGCGGGAAAGCTAGGCTGTATGGAGAAGTCATGATGAGCATATATTGTGTTCGGTGGAAGGTGGTGGGCTTGTGGTAGGCTTAACACGAGCGTGGTCTCATCTTTTGTCAAGGTTCGTGGTAGTCAATCGGAGAGTTTGCCTGGTACGGCCTGACTCAAGGGTTGCTGACTTGTCCCAGGATAGCCAATTGAAAGGCGGAAAAAAAAACAGAAACAAAATGGTTCACCAGATAATATCTCGCCGCATCGGTGGATGGTCTCAAGTCTCTATGTGTCGGGAACGACAATAGCAATTTCAAGTTTTTTTTTCGTTTGTTTTTTTGGGGACAATTGCATGTTCTGTATGCAGGTGGATTGGTGTGGATCAGGAAGGAGTGCCCTCTGCAGTATGCGGGTGGCGCTGCGTTTTTGGCTGCGGTTTATGGAGATGTCTTGGTAGCAACAGGCGCACACGCAGAGTTTCATGGCCATACATGTTCTGGCAGTCAGCTCCTGGAGTTTGCACACAGCCAGGTATGTACAGCTTGCCACCAACTCTATCTCCTCTCAGTGCGTACTTTGCGGCGGTTCTTTTTCTTTTATGTACCTTCTTTTCGTCATTCAGCACTTTTCTTGTGACTGGACCCTCCACGGATTTGAACTCCCGATCTCGGGTTTGACAGCCAGATACCTTAAATCACTGCAACCAGGACATGCTTACTTTGCAGTGGTTCTTTGGGCCTCGCCACACCAGTGTTGAAAACCTCAAAATCTCGACGGCTGTCAGAAGAAACTCGACAGCAGCCCTTTCGACAGTTTGCTCCCCCCTCCCCCCACACACCCACTGCCCCCCGCTCGCCACACAGCACTGTCGAAGTGAAGATCTCGCGAATGCAAATCCAAAAGAGACAACCCCGTCTGAGTGTAGGACAATCAAGCACTCCTCCGTCCCTACCTCAGTCCCACTCACCGAATTCGGAGAACTCCGTAGCTCGGCGGAGGACTGTTGAAAATGTCAATGTTGCAGGCTGGAGATGCAACCTTGAGAGGAGGAAGGAGGTGGCAAAACACTTTGCCTGACACCTTGATAATCCTTTTCCCGTCTCGGATGTCGATGAGCTGTGTGGCGAGGAGTAACTGTCGAAAATCCCTCTTTCGACAGAGGTGTGGTGCGATCCTTTTTCTTTATGTACCCTCTTTTCCTCATTCAGCACTTTCCCTGTGAACGGACGCTGCGTGGAATTGAACTCGCGATCTCGGGTTTGACAGCCAGATACCTTGACCACTGCAACCAGGACATGGTACTCAACACTGGAGTCTTACGCATCACGAACAAAATCCATCCCACGCCTGCGTGGTTGCAGTGGAATGAGTTGGAAGGAGTAGGCGGAAGGAGGAGGAAAGAGTCGGATGAGAACAAGGAGTGACCTGTGTGTGACAAAGCAGAAACAAAGCAAATCTTTCAGGATTAATTGTTTTCACTTGAAGGTCTGGGACACATGTCAATTCATCATAAAGGATGCGCGGAGTCACTGACCTGTGTGTGACAAAGCAGAAACAATTTCAAACAAAGCAAAATCTTTCAGGACCACTTAGAACATGATCGATTTTGCTGCCTTGCCTTGCCTTGCCTTGCCTTGCCGATTTCGTGGGGCATGTCGAATTGTTTGGCCCCTGCTGACCTCCATCCCTCCATGAGTCCCCTCACCTCTCCCGCATCTCCCTGTTGTTGTGGTGCGGTTGTGTTTTGTTTTTCAGGTCAGTTATGTTCTGGGTAAGAATCCGCGGCGAAGTAGTTACATGGTTGGTGTGGGGCCTAACTGGCCTCAGCGGGTTCATCACAGAGCATCGTCGATTACTCCATTGCACGAAGACGAGAAGAATGGCTGCGGTTTCGCTGAGGGGTTCCACTTCTTGCTATCGAAAGAACCAAATCCCATCCCACATGTCGGTGCGATAGTTGGAGGACCTGACGACATGGACTCGTACGAAGATGACCGGGGGAATTACAATCAGAGCGAGCCGACAACCTATATCAATGCCATCTTCTGTGGTCTGCTTGCTAGATTTGCGGAGCCGGGTGCGGGAGCCAATGTTCAAGATAGTAATACATGCCATGCCAGAGGTCAGCGCATCCCCCGCTTCTCTTCCCGTGTGATCGATGTGTCAGAATTTTCCCCTGCAAATCCTGAAGAATGCTGCATTGCCACCCCTGCAGACGAAATGTGCACATCCCCTCTCATCTCTCCCCGTTCGGCAAACCTGGAGACAAACTCTGACGACGAGGACTTCAAGTCAGCTTCCAACAGGTCCTCCTCTTCAGAGCCATCCTCCCCCAGATTGCAGGCATCCGCGCCCGCATCCTATGTGGATAGCAGTGACCCTGCTGCTGCTTCTATTAACAGATTATCGGGAGAAGGACCAGAGGTGGTGGGGGGGGAGGCGCACACCACCAATCATCATGACCCTTCTTCCGAGAACGGGGACGAAAAGGATGATGCCCTGCCGTCTTCCGCCACATGTAGTCCGCACGAGCTCTCGTCCGAGTCAAACTCACCTGGCATTGTCTATTTGATCACCCGAGAATCTGATTGGGTGGAGGGAGGGAAGCGGATATGCGTGCTCCAGGTTGATATAAGGAACGCGACTGGAAAAGCCGTAGAAGATCTTTTGATTAGACCATCGGGTTTTGCGCCCTCGCAGTCGTGGTGCATTGATCTGATTGCCGAAACGGGGCTGCTGAAGCTGCCGCCATGGAAGCCTGTTCTGCTCCCATCCGAGGTCTTTCGCTTTGGGCTTATCCAGCCCTGTGAGCCTCCTTTACAGCTTCAAACCCACTCCTATACCACTGCCGAGGACTGAGATAGAGAGGGAGGGTTTTTTACAGACGTCCCAGGCGTGCACTACTAGGAACTTTCGGGTGGTGGGGTTTTCCCAACCGCCGGAAAACATGAACAGCCTCCTGTTTTCGGAGGTCTTCCGGGGTTCTTGGAGGCGCGTCTCGTTTCTTTTGGAGGCTGTCTGTGAGTGGTCAGTCAAACGGTTGTTAGGGTGTGTGCCTTCAGCGCATTTTTTTGGGCATAGCTGCCATAGCCTAAATTTAACCTGGAAATGTGTCCGAAATACTGGTGGTCTTTAAGCATCTCCTCTTCTTGGGGACGGACCGCTCGGGCGTGAATCCGAGCTAGCTGTTCACCCTGCGTCGCGAATACTATTTTTAGATGTGTGACTTGTGAGCATGTCGGGTATAGGAGAGTTTCAGCATCCAATGATTCGAGGACTCCCAGTAAAGAAGGAAGAGGGTTCGACGGTACTCCCAAGCAGTCAGTGGGCGCGTTTGTGGGGTCCCTATGTATGGAAATGTGGACGCTTAAGCATTTGATTTGATGATGCGAGCAACCTGTCCGGTTTGTCAACGTTGTGGAATGTGTTTTTCTGCATGAGGATGTGGTGGTGCACATGGAAGAAAGGACTCGTGCAATCTCATGATCGGACCCAAGAGCTGTGTGCTTTGTTGGTCAGCATCAACCTGCCCGTCATCATATCCATCATCCATGCACTAACTTAGCGCCAACATGGTGCCAGTGGCGCCTGCTAGCAAAGACTGTTGATCTCGAGGTTGCGCATCGGTGATTTTCTGGTGATGTCAATCGTTGATCTTCTTGAAGGTTGCGCATCGGTGATTTTGTGATGATGTGAACCGTTGATCTTGAAGGTTGCTCATCGGCGATTTTGTGATGATGTCAACCTTCGATCTTGAGGTTGCGCATCGGTGATTTTGTGATGATGTCAACCTGTATGACCTCTATCTTTTCTCTATTTGCGGGAGGCACCATCCAGTTGCCAATTCATCGGCGATTTTGTGATGATGTCAACCTGTACGACGTCTATCTTTTCTCTGTCGTGGTCATGTTTCTAGTGTCTCAAGAGGATTGCCAGAGATTACCGGATAGATTCTAGTGTTTATTGCTGTGCTGTTTTCTAACTGAGCATACGTTTGTAGGGTGTATAGAGGGTGGGCGCACCGAGAGGGTGTTTTGTATAGAGAGAGTTTGCAGTAGTGTTATAGGATGAGAAGGGAGTATAGAGAGAGGGGGGAACGACAGAAACCGACCATCCACTTCATATTCGGGGGCTAGCATCTCGTTTGCATCCTCATGTTTCTCAGTGTTCATTCTTTTTTCGTCACCGTCGCCTCCTGGTTGCAGTTGGGACATACATATTAGACATTGCGACTGCTCCGGTTTGTCATGATCGAAGGCCATGTATGCTGCGAGAAGTAGTGGCGTGTGTAGCGTGTTGGATTTGATTTCGAGTCCACCACAGCTTCAGAATCCGACAACGCTGGCAAATCTCCCAAGGTGTTGCTGTATTTTGCATCTACCTGTGCGCGTCACGTTGTTGTACACAATGGGCCAATCCAGATGAATGGTACGTTTCTGAGTTCGCTCCAAGGCAGGAGACACATCATCAGGCAGGCACACAGACAGAGTTGCCTTTGCAGCCGTAACGTACGTGGCACCAATGTCGACACTTTCATCGTTCGTGACCATGAGGATTAGGTGTGTTTCATGGGTGCAAATCTCGAGGCGTTGCTGTATTTTGCATCTACTGGGCGGGCATTGCTTTGCAGTTTTTGCAGTGTTTGCACTGGATGCTGGTCTATCGAATAATTGAGGCGACTGTTAGTTTCTGAGGTTTTGCTCTAAGTCAGCGGACTCGTCATTAGGCAGGTGCGCAGACAGAGTCGTCTTCTCCATAAGGTGTGTTGCACAGATGTCGACGACTTCATCGGGTGCAGCTCATGGCCGCAAATCTTGACGCGTCGCCGTATTTTGTATCTACTGGGAATCACCACTTCGCACAGGATGGGCATCGTCTATCTAATCCGGGCCAACGGTACTGTGCTTTGGTCCAAGTCAGCAGACACATCATCAGGTGGGCACAGGCTCAGTTCTCCTACTAAGGCTGATAATGTCATCAGACACCAATGTCGATAATTTCATTATTCTTCACCACGACGATAAACTCGTATAAAGTGGTGTTCGTCAGCATTCACGGAGATCTGGAATTCAATCTGGATGCAACTTATGTAGAAATTTCAAATTACTAAATTAGTGGATT